TTTTCTGTGTAAGTCATGATGACCTTTGTGCAAGGTTGTGTTTTTTGCAGTCTTCTGAGATATTTCGGTATTTATGCATGAAAACTCTCTCTTCATAGCCTTTCCTGGCTCTCTCTTCCTTTTCTTTTCTTGTTTCTTTTTTTAATACAGACAGGGTCTCACACTCTGTCATCCAGGCTGGAGTACAGTGGCACAATCACAGCTCACTGCAGTCTGGACCTCCTGGGCATGGTGGTGTGTGCCTGTAGTCCCCCTCCCAAATTGCTGGGACTACAGATGCACACCACCATGCCCAGCTAATTAAAAAAAACTTTTTTTGTAGAGACAGGGTCTCACTATGTTGCACAGGCTAGTCTCTAATTCCTAGGATCAAGCAGTCCTCCTGCCTCGCCTCCCAAAGTACTGGGATTACAGTTGTCAGCCACTGTGCCTGGCCAGTTGGGGGATTTTTCATGTTTTTCCTTTTTTAAACACAAGTTACTCTATTTTGATTCTGACAATTTTCACATATCCTATCCTCCCAGCACACTTTTGTGACCAAAGTTGTGGGGGGCTTTTTCCCTAACACCAAGCAATTCTCCAGAGGACACCAAATGGGTATCCTATAATCCAATTCCATTTGATGCTATCTACCTAGAGACGGTGTCAGAGCTCCTGTCTTAGCCTTCCAAGTAGCTGGGATTACAGGCACCCACCACCATGCCTGGTTAACTTCTATATTTTTAGTAGAGGTGGGGTTTCACCATGTTGGCCAGCCTGGTCTCAAACTCCTGACCTCAGGTGATCTGCCTGCCTCGGCCTCCCAAAATCCTGGGATTTCAAGTGAGAGCCACCACGCCCAGCCAAATCTTGTATTTTATACAGCTTGATCTCCAGCCCCTCCACTCCTTTCCTGGAGGCTTGTGGGTGGGCTAAAAGTTCTAAACCATTAATTCTCTAATCGTGTGTTCTTTCCAGCTACTTGCCCCATCTGAAGCTACCCAGGGCTCCATCCTATGTCACCACATTAGTATGAACTCCGGTGTCAGCAAACAGGCTCATTATGAATAACAGGACACTCTTATCACTAAGGAAATTCCAAGAGTTTTAGCTCTGTGACAGAAACCAGAGACAAGGACCAAATATAATTCATAGTAGACCATAACTAATCTCCCTGCTTTAGGTCTTGCCCATTACATATTATTTTCAACAGCACAGCCACAGTAATGCTTTTAATGAAGTCAATTTATGTCACTCCTCTGCCAACATCTCTGCCATGGCTCCTGTTTCACCCACAGTAAAAGGCAGAAAGCTTACAATGGCCTATAAGACCCTACTTAGTCCAGCTCCCCCATTATTTTTCTGCCGCCTTCTATCACTCTGCTGGTTTCATTGCAGTAGCACAAACACGATAGGCAGCCTCCATTTCTCTCAGGGCCTTCCTGAACTAGCTCCCCCTGCCTAGAAGGCTGACTGCTCTTCACCTCTGACAGGCTTCTGTGCCAATCTCAATGAAGTGCTGCCCTCACCCTCCTATTTAGAATTGAAAACTCCCCCTACTTTGGCCTTCCAGTCCCTACTGCTTTATTTTTCTCCATAGCACTTTTTACTACCTGACATAAAAACACACACTTGTTTGTTGCCTTTCCCACTCTACAACATCACCTCCTTAAGGGCAAGAAATTCTTGTTTTATTATTGTATCCTAACATTGTATTTGGAACAGTGCCAAATGGTGGCACTCATTAAAAAATTACTGAATGTATGCAGAAAGAAATTTGTTTATATTTGTAGGCATGCCTGGGATTACTTTACTTCAAATTATACCCAGTGTAAGTATCTATTAACAACCATGTGATTTAGTCTAGAATTTTCCAAACCTGGCTGATCATCAGACTCATCCTCAAATGTTATAGAATTCTGGGCCAACTCTACTGAATCAGCATCTGGGGGTGATACTCAAATTTATTAAAAGCACTCCAGGTGATACTGATGAACTGCTAATTTTTTGCTGGAATAAACAGATCTGAAATTAGAAGTCTGCATTCCAACTACAGCTCTGCCACTGTTACAGGATCTTGTATTCCTAAACCCCCTGAAATCAATCTATTTTCTTATTCATAAAATAGGAATACCAATCTTGCAAAGTTTTGAGAATTAAACGTGTGTAAGACAGCCTCATAAACTGTCAAATACAATAAAATGTAGAGTATCACATTTAAAAGTTGCTATATAAAAGTTATACCAGTGGGTACAAATTACTATAATTCTAAAAGATATTTAAAGCTTCTAAAAGGATCTTTTAGAATTTACAAGATTCTATGCTCTATTTTTTTTTTTCTTTTGAGACAAGGAAAGAAAAAAAATGAGTAAAGGAGAGGAAGAAAGAGGAAGAGAAAGAGGGAGGGTGAACAGAAATATTGCTTTATTCTGAAAAAAAATGGGTATTAATAATGGCCAATCAATGTTTCATTTAAACCTATGAGTAGGTGTGATGTGGTATTGAAAAGAATGTATATTTTGTGTATTTGAAGTGGAGAGCTCTATAGATGTTTATTAGGTTTACTTGTTCTGGATCTGAGTTCGAGTCCTTGATATCCTTATTAATTTTCTGTTTCACTGAATCTAAGTCTCTATGTATCTGGGTGTTAGGATCGTTAGCTCTTGTTGTTGCATTGATCCTTTTACCACTATATCTTTGTTGCTTTAAAATCTATTTTATCTAATACAAGAATTGCAACTCCTGCTTTTTATTTATTTATTTATTTATTTATTTTTGCTCTCCATTTGGTTAGTAAATCTTTCTCCATCCCTTTGTTTTGAGTCTTTGTGTATCCTTGCATGTGAAACAGGTCTGGATGTAACATGCCATAGGGTTTTGGCTGTGTCTTTTGATTGGGGGATTTAGTCGATTTAAATTTAGGGTTACTGCCATTTGATGTTAACTGGCTGTTTTATCCATTCGTTGATGTAAATTCTTCTTTATGTTGGTGCTCTTTACTTTTTGGTATATTTTTAGAAAGGCTAATACTGGTTGTTTCTTTCTGTGTGTAATGCTTCTTTCAGAAGTTCTTGTAAAGCCAGCCGGGTGGTAATAAAATCTCTGAGTACTTGCTTGTTCATAAAAGATTTTATTTTTCCTTCAGTTGTGAAGCTTAGTTTGGCTGGATATGAAATTCTGGGCTGAAGGTTCTGTTCTTTGAGGATGTTGAATATCGACCCCCCACTCTCTTCTGGCTTGTAGAGTTTCTGCTGAGAGATCTGCTGTAAGTCTGATAGGCTTGCCTTTGTGGGTAACCTGACCTTTCTCTCTGGCTGCCCTTAGTATTTTCTCCTTTGTTTCAACCCTGGTGAATCTAACGATTATGTGCCTTGGGGTTGCTCTTCTTGAGGAATATCTTTGTGGTGTTCTCTGTATTACCTGGGGTTGAATTTTGACCTGCTTTGCTAGTTTAGGAAAATTTTCCTGAATAATATCCTGAAGGGTATTTTCCAGCTTGAATTCATTCTCTCCGTCGCATTCAGGTACACCTATCAAACGTAAAATTGGTCTTTTCACATAGTCCCACATTTCTTGGAGACTTTGCTCATTCCTTTTTATCCTTTTTTCTCTAATCTTGTCTTCTTGTTTTATTTCATTAAGTTGGACTTTGACCTCTGATATCCTTTCTTCTGCTTGAACAATTTGAGTGTTTAAACCTGTGCATACTTCTCCGAGTTCCTGTATTGTACTCTTTAGTTCCATTAATTCACTTATATTCCTCTCTAAGTTGTCTATTCTCAATAGGATTTCATCAAACCTTTTTTCAAAGTTCTTAGTTTCTTTACGTTGGGCTACAACATGTTCTTTTAATTCACAGAAGTTTCTTATTATCCATTCCCTGAAGCGTGATTCTGTTATTGGGATGCGCTCGTTCTCCATCAAGCCTTGTTGCATTGTTGATGTGGAACTGTGATCATCTTTAGAGAGAGAGGCGTTCTGATTTTGAGTATTTTCAGCCTTTTTATGGTGGTTTCTTCCCATCATTGTAAATTTATCCTCCTGTCGTCTTTGAAATTACCAACTTTCAGCTTACGTCTCTTGAGTGGACGTCCAAGTTGTTAGTTCCCAGGGCCAGAACAGCAGCGTTAAGACTGATGGTGCTTTTCTGCCCAGGATTCTCCTGTCTGGCTTCCTTCTTGTGTCCGTAATAGGCGACTCTGCCTTCCCGGGGCTCCAAACCTCGGTCAGAAGGGGAACCAGTCTCGTTTACTCAGCGCCGAGAGCTGCCTCACCGAGGTGCCGTCACAGCCACTGCACCGGCCTCCGGAGTCGTGCTGGGGACCCGTGTGGGTCCTCCAAACCTCGGTCAGAAGGGGAGCCAGCCCCGTTTACTCTGCTCCGAGAGCTGCTGCGCCGAGGTGCCAGCAAAACCGCTGTGCCGGCCACATGAGTCGCGCTGGCGACCGGTGTGACTCCTCCACTGGGGATCTTCTGCTCCGTGAGTGACCAGAATATGTCTGAAAGTGTGGCGTCCTCTAGTTCTCTGCGCTTTCACTGAGAGCTGCAATCCTGAGATGTTAGCGATCAGCCATCTTGGATCGTTCCCCCCTATGATCTATTTATTTCAGAGCATATATATTGATTTTGGACTAACCAATTTCCAAAATACTCTTCCAGGTACATTAGAGATTCATAACTTTTCCCATCAGTTCCAAAGGCAAACCAAAGAGATGACAGAGAATGACAATATGCTAATGGCCAACAAGGACCTCCACAAGGTAAAAAAAAAAGAAACAAAAATCTTGAAATGTATTTCTTCCTCTTACAAGTCAAATGGCAATGAAAACAAACATTGTTATGCAATCAGGAAAAGTAGGTGAAAAAATAACATACATTTCAAATTGTATACCAGACAGGCTTAGAAACTGAGATTACATATTAAAAATCTAGTCTAAAAAAGAAAAAATGAGTAAAATTTTAAAACAATTAAGAAAAAACAAAAGGCTAAAACTATATACTATAAAAGATTAATAGTTTACCTGCAGATCCTCACATAGAAAGACAGATTCTTGAAAACTAATTCGATAAGTCTTTAAGGCTTTTAACTTTCCCTTCTTTCTACAAGCAGGGCAATACCCATCTGATGGAACTTCAGCTGAATCGTAATTCTAAAAGAGAAATAAAGCAAATTAAAATATAGACATTCTTAGAACATATCAAAATATTAAAAGTTAAATGGAAAGGTAATCAGAAAAAAATATAATTTTCAATTATAAGTATCCTGGCAAGATATTTTAAACATGGCAAATAAAAGAAATGTATATAAGCCTTTAAATACAGCTAATATTCCAAAAAGAATTGTTATAGTTTTAAATATTAAGTTTTGAGTGTTAAGAATAGCATCAATTTTATTTGCAAGAAAAAAAGTAACATCAACTGCCAGGGAGAACTTACGTTCCATATTTTCAAAGAGCAGAAAATCATAAGGTCTATGTTTCATTTCTACTTTCATATATCAATAAAAGACAGAGAGGTAAAACACATTAAAACAATCTTTCGCCATTACTGTAAGATTTCCGTGGAAGATACAATTTTTTAGAAGTTAACTGGTAACATCAAAACTGAATTTAAGTCTCAAAAATAGAGAAAAAAAACTTTGCACTCAGGCAAAAAATAAGTTCACTAACTTTTCCCAAATACCCCACCATGTGGAGTGAAGATACCCCTATATCAGCCCCTGGTCCAATCACTGGCAAACCATTTCCAATCTTCGAGGAATCCATCATTCCGAGTCATTGGCTAATTTATGTCACTTGAAACATGTCAATATCACTAAGGATTTTTTTCAATGAACCCTGGAAAAAAAAAGTTAATAGACAATTAAATAAAAATTCTATTTACTATAAAAAAGAACCATGCTATTTTATAAGACGCATATGTTAAGCAGATTTTCAGGGCTACATGTCCTAGAATAAACATATTCTAAAAGTAAAATCTTGATGTGAAAATGATACCCGTATTTATAAACCTAGCAAGTTTGTGGACAGAGGGTAGTGACTGGCAACAGGACCAGTTTTCATAGCAGATTCATTTGCGAACAAATTAAATAAAACTTGTAGTAGAGGTAGCTACTATTTAAAGCACACTATATTGACCAGAATTTGAAAACCTCACTTTTTAGAGTCTATGTACAATTTGAAACAAATATGCCAGCATTATACTGAGAAAGTACTTAAAAAACCCCAGATCCATTGTGCCATTATTTGACAGGGACAAAAGAACCAATGAACCACATTCCTATTGTTTTCAACTACCAAGAACATGAATACTTTACCAGCTGGGAAAAATACTACAATACTACTTATTAAAAGCTGCTAACACATTATTTTAAATGACCTAATTTACACCACATTTAACTTATTTTGTTATTATCAAAACAAAAATATAAACACTGTCCTAGTACAAATCACACATGTGGCCAACTTGTTTCGAGTGTAGTCCCATGTCATAGAACCACATTTAATAGTCAAAATTATGAGACACTGGAGCTCAGTGTAAGCAAAAATTAATTAAGAGTAGTTTAATTGTGGGCTTACAATCATAGGGAAATGAAATACAGAGGACCTTTAGGGCAGAGGCGAATTACCACTTAGCAGAAAGGTTGTAAGATGATTCTAGGCATAAGTCTTTCCCAAATCCAAGAATCCGTGATTCTATGACAACTATCTCCTAGGAATCGATGGCTCACAATTCACTTTAAAAACTAATTATTCTATTTTGGTTCAGCTATATAAACTTCACAAACCTTTCAAGCCAAGGAATAATTTCAAAAATAAAATCGCTTTTTTGAAAAAGTCAGTATCAGTGAATCTCAATTTCCTGTTCCTGAAGAAATAACCCTAAGATAGGGTTTCTCAACTGCAGCAGGACAGATAGCTTTGACCAAATAATTATTTGTGAAGGCTGTCCTATGCACTGAAGGATGCTTAGCAGCATCACTGACCTTTACTCCCTAGATCCAATAGCCAAAAATGTTTCCCGACTTGCCAAATGTCCCCTGGTAGGCAAAAATCACCCCTTCTGGTGAGAACTACTGGTGCTTTTTTCTTTCTTTTTAGGCTCAACTTACTACCTTTGGCTGGTTCTATTTCTAATTTACTTACAAAAGGGAGCTAGAGGACAGGTCTGACCATCTGTAATCCCAGCACTTTGGAAGGCCGAAGTAGGCAGATCACATGGTCAGGAGTTTGAGACCTTACCTCTACTAAAAATGCAAAAAATTAGGAGGGCATGGTGACAGGCGCCTGTAATCCCAGCTACTTGGGAGGCTAAGGCAGGAGAATTGCTTGAACCCAGAAGGTGGAAATTGCAGTGAGCCAAGATCATGCCATTGCACTCCATCCTGGGTGACAGAGCAAGACTCCATCTCAAAAACAACAATAACAACAGCAACAATAACAACAGCAGGGAACTAGGTGGGAGTCAAACTTCCATGGTCCCTGCTTTGCAAGCTGTGTACCTTCGGATCTTGGTCCAGAAACTTACCTGTAAAATTGGTTTCTTCTAAGAATTAGATGATATAAAGCACGTAAAAGGCTTAGCACCTGACAAATTAAATTAAGCCTACTATTTGGTACTAATTTTATACTTCATTCTGCATAGAGAAAAAGCAGTACAACTTGCAGCATTCTGCTGGACTCTCAAAAGGGAAACTAGTAGGCTATGTACCTTGAATAAACTGTTTTTGATGAAAATTTCCATCTACCTGAGGGAACTTAGAAAACTTTTTCAAGTCAAACGGTTTTCTCATTGTCTCTCTCAATTATAAAAGATAAAAAGCTTCCAAATCTGCTCTCTGAATTCCATCACCCAACATTTCAATGGGAAAAACAGATAGGTTGGTGGTTGAAATCCTGAATATATAGAATCCCCCAAAAGAAAATTTGTCCATATGGGGGACATAAAAAAAAAAAAATACCAGAGGTGAGCTCACCAGGTCTTCTTTCAAATACAATTCACTTTGACTTACATACAAAATGCTGGGGTGGATTTTACAACTTAATCTGACCCTAAGTAACCGCTCTTTCTCCATTCAAAAGCAATCTCCTCCTCCTTTCCATATCTCACTTAAATGTGGGCATCTCCATCCTTTGAAACACACAGACTATAAAGTCTGAGTTGTTCCATATTCTTTATTTCCCTCTTCACACAGTAAGTCACACAAAACTCTGTTGACAATTGTTTGGAAAGGTCTCAGATCCCCACCTCTTTCCCTTCCATCTTACTGTCAAAATGGTGCCCCTATAAGATAAGTCTGAGCCTGTCAATGATCAGCTTAAAATTCTCTATTTACTCCAGCCTGATTACAGCAAAGTCAGTCCAAACAGCCCAATATAACCTAAAGGCAGTACTATGACCTAAACTCGTACTGTGAAACCAACCAAGCTTTCCAGTTTTATCTTCAACTCTACTTCACCCCCAACATCTTTCTCCTAACATCCCCTTTTCATACTTTTATGAGCCACTTATACTCCAGAATCCTTAATGTGAATTATTAGCCCAGCATGAACCCAGTTACAGCACAATGAACGTATCAAGCTGGCCCTGGGAATCGCAAAAGGTATGCAATTAAACTTAATTCACATTCCTGTGTGCAAAATGGAGAAACCAGGGAAACAGCTGTTAGAAGAGGGGGCCTCACACCCACCCATCTGAGCTTGCCCTCCGAGAGCTAGTAGGCTCGGCACGTGAACTGTCAAAAGCGAGGCCAAACCGACCTGGAAGCCGAGGAATAGGGTCGGCTTTCCGCACCGAGCCCTGTCTGGTACCAAACCCAAACGTCTTCAATCAGAGACGAACAGGACCAAAAGAGGTGAGTTTCGACCCAACCTAAGAAGCCTAAGGAGGCGCACAGTCCGTTAACCCTGCTCATCTCCACGCTCCTTGGAAAACAAAAACAAACTCTGGTTTCTCTTCAGCGTTCACCTCTCTGCGCCCAAACGGATCTGTAAGTCCAACTCTGTACCTTTATCATCAACCTTTCCCACTTGAACCCCGTCCGAGCCCAGACCAGCCTTTCAGCGCGCCGACTACCCCATAGGTCATCCCAGCTCTGTCTCTTTTCCCTATTTCGAGAGGGAAAAGGAACCTCTCCCTCTTTTCCCGTACCTGCCATGGGCACTCCCCTTCTTCGTACCGGGTCGTTCGGAACTCCTGTTCCAGCTTGATCTCCACACCACCTAGTTGCAACGTTCAACCCACGTTCCACTCGGACTGCTCCTCCCCCACTCGCGTCTCCACTAGGAAGGTGGCTTCCGGCTTGAGTCCGCGGCAAGAGAGTCCCCCTTCCTGCTGCACGCAGGGCCTAAAAGGACTGCGGCGTGGTGGGGAAAGTGAAGACGGAAGCACTTCCGGTCGCTTTCCGCAGAGGCGTGGCTGCCTGCCCTGCGGCCGCAGACGCAGTTGCGACTGCGGCGACAAGTAGGGGCGGGGCCGGTGACTGCTCAGCCCGCCATGTGTGAGTGGCTGGGTTTGGGGAGGCGACGTTTCTGGAAGCTGCTGGAAAGCGCTCGAGTGGCGGAGGTGGCGCCAGCGGCCGGGGGTGGGGCGTGATTAAAACTAGTGCGCGGCCGCTGCGGAGGGATTACGCTAAGGAAAAAGACCTGCTTACGCTCCGCTGGTTCCTGGTCCGCGAGAGCGTGGTCGGGAACCGCCGGGCCCTGGAGTGACCCGCGGAGGTGGGAGAGGGAAGGGCTCCCGAAGCCGGCGGTACTGCCATGGAGGCTCTCCGCCGGCGCGGCTTTCACAGCGCGGCCGCCCTGGGCATCCGTAGTCCGCTCTCCCAAAGCCTCGGTGGAGCCAAAGCTGCCACAGAGTGCATGTTCACAAAGGGTCATCACACACGGAGGTGCCCCTCCCTGTCTCCCTAGAGCCCACCTTCGAGCCAGGGGCTTTTCTACCAGGATTCTGGGGTGTTTCTCCTCCCTTCCTCCCTCCCAGATCTTCTCACGGTAAGGGGAGCAGCGAAAGCACAGGGACTTTGCATTCCACGACCCGTTCTGACTAGTCAGCAGCCGATCTGTCCCTGCTGCACTAATTCCAGCTGCCCTGCCTTGTTTTAACTTCAGAGAAAGGGGGAGTTCTCATTTGATAAGTTTAAGCCTCTGCTTTCGTAGGAAGGTCATGTGGCTTAAGGGACATCGTGACCGCTTGTGCTATTTCTGCGTGTGCATTCTAAATCTTGGGGGCAGCATATTCCAGAAGTCCTTTTGGTCGATTGGTTCTGTGCCTTAGGATAACAATTTGTACTTTCTGTTTCTTTGCAGACTAACCACAACTGGCATTTTGAACTGTGGGGTTTTTAGTGGTCTAAAACTAAATGATTGTGTTCTGGAATAATGCTGATCATTTGGATACCGTGGTATGGAGGAAACAAGTATCGTGTAGAATAAATTCTTTAGTAAAAATGATTTTAGTTTTTGGTACTTCTGAATGCAAATGGCCAAGGAATCCAACAGAGTTTGTTGGGCTTTCTCCAGACAAAAATAGGCTGGTTAGTTTGTTTACCTTTTTCTGTTGTTTTTATTAAACTAGATTATTAATGTGTTTGTGTATTTAAGGTCTAGCTAGTTTTTTTTTTTTTTTTTTATGTATTGTGATTAAAATTTGAGAAAGTAGTATTTCCTCCTCAAAATAGCCAGAATTCAGAGGGTTGTTTTCTTGCTCACCAGTGCTATTTCCATTTTTAGAATGAAATACACTATTTGTAAAAAAAAAAAAAAAAAACTTGCTAAATATGAACTTATAAATTGAAAACAATTGGTTCAGTTAAAATGTAGCTAAAATTGTAAGACTGCAAAACCACATCACGAAACTGAATTATATTTTTAAAACATTGTTGCAAAAACGTTGTCTGCCAAGTTGAATTTTAGTCTCAGTGTAAATTTGATTTTTTTTTCAGAAAAAAATTATTAGTAACAAAATGGAGGTGGCGCTTGAGTTGTAAAGAGAAAGGAAGGGATTTTAATTTGTTCTATCTCCAGAGCTTTTTCCCCTTGTAAAAGGTAGTACAAGACTTTTAAGATAAAGGGAAGAACTTTGATATAGGAGATCCGCAGAGATGGACTAGAAAACCCCTTTCGTTTATATTAGAGAGTAACCGTCCCAACTTGAAAATACTGTATATATTTCTGCTTATTTCTATATATTTGAAATGCTTTTGTCTGTGTACCCTGGTCCTAGAGAGAGTGCAGTACCTTCCAGAGGGTTTGCTCGCTCATTGCCTCCCTCCCCTTGTCAGCGATGTGGGACAGAAATTTTATTGACCTATTTCCAGTTAAAAACTCATGATTTAAAGGAAGACGCTTTTATTAAATTAATAACTAACGAACAGCTGCAATAGTTCAGTGCTGTACATTTAGGATTTTCTCCCCCCACCCCCATTTTGGCCACTCATGATGTCACCTCTTGCACCCTTAACCACTATACAAGTGTTTGGCCCAAACCTGGGATATAAAAGCTGCTTGCTATGATTTCTTTTTCTAGTCTTATCAAAAAGATGAGAGTCGAAGTGACTGACTTTACTTTCTAGAAGCACCCTTATGAATACATCCCACATCTCAATTTAACATTCAGAAAGCGCTGAAAACCTAAAACTTCTTAAGCTTAGCAACAAAAGTCATTTGATAGCAAAATATGACCTGAACTTTTGAGAAACTGTATATAGTCTTTATCCCATGTGTTTTGCTGAAACTCTATTAGTATGTTTGATTATGGGGTGCTGCCCTTGGCCCCCGCTATGTGGGGTGTTATATAATGGTTTGTGTACCTTGTTACATTTAAAAACTGTATGAAATTATTATTTCTAAAACACATCCAACCCTTTGGTTTTAGTTAAGGAATTGTAAACCTGTATTAATGTTTTTGGCAACACACGTACATATTTTAAAAAATTAAAGTAACTAAAGATATTTTAGTTCTTTCAGTAAATTCAGATTTATTAGGATAGAAAAAATACATGTATCATATTGTGTGTCTGTCATATCGTGCATCTATCATATTGTATACATGCAATGAAAAAGGTATGTACAGCTTATTTGTAAGTGTAGCCATATAGTGAGCCAAACAAGAAATTAATAGTTTGAGGGCTTAAGGTTAGTTTATACTTTAGGCTTTAAAATTTAGATGAAACATGACAACTTGTAATGTAGTCCAAACTTGGCTGTTTTGCCGATAGAAAATGAGAAAATGGGAATAAAGTTGATCCCATGTCTTCTGCTATGTGACCTTACATAAGTCACTGAGTTTTTAAGGTCTCGGTTTACAGATTTATAAAATGAGAAGTTTGGAATAGATGAATCTCTTTTTTTTTTTTTTTTTTTTTTGAGGCGGAGTCTAGCTCTGTTGCCAGGCTGGAGTGCGGTGGCGTGATCATGGCTCACTGCAGCCTCCACCTCCTGGGTTCAAGTGATTCTCCTGCCTCAGCCTCCCGAGTAGCTGGGATTACAGGCACACATCACCATGCCCAGCTAATTTTTGTATTTTTAGTAGCGACGGGATTTCACCATGTTGGCCAGGATGGTCTGGATCTCCTGACCTCGTGATCTGCCCACCTTGGCCTTTCAAAGTGCTGGGCTTACAGGCATGAGCCACCGCGCTCAGATGGATCTCTTATGGAAAGTTCCTTACAGTTTCAACATTCCATATGCAGATATTTACTGTTAGGAGTACCGCCTATTTTTAAAAGTTTTTCCTACTAAGGATATGATCCCATTTCATCTCAAACTGCTGTCTTGCTGATCTAAACTTGTCATTTTGTTCATAGCTAACACATTCATTCACATGGTTCAAAATTCAAAAGGTATAAAAGGATACTCTGTGAAGTCTTTTCTTCCACATCTGTTCCTCAGCCATCTCATTCTCTGCCTAGGAAGCAACCAGCACTACCAGTTTCTGGCATATTTTTCAGAAAAAATGTTATACATGTATGAGCAAATAAATATATATAATGTTTTTTCCCTTTTTCTATATAAGTGGTACATATCATGCATATTGATTATGTACCTTTTTTGTTCACGTGCCTTAAAAGTTGTTCTGTTATTATGCAAGATATTTCCTTATGTTTATGGCTGCATAATATTCCATTTTATAATGTACCATTATTTCATCAACCCTATCTTTTGAACATTTAGGTGTTTTTTTCCAGATCTTTATTAAAGAGCATTGTGCAATGAATAACTTTCTATGTACATCAATCTCACATGTGTGCATATATTTGTGCTCTAGCCAATGGCACAGCTGGGTCCCGTGCTTTGACTTATGGCATGAAGATATGCCAGTATGGTATAGTGGAGTCAACAACCTATTTGACTCTAAAGCAAGCATATGAGATAAATCACATCACCTGAATGGCTGTTTCTGCATTTGAGAATGCATGTATATATACATATATCCATAGTATGCATATGCATGTATAGATGAAGCAGGTGGATTATGTGTAGGGACTTTATCCTAAACAAACAAACAAATGTTTAAACACTAAAATCATGCCACTGAGCAAGATTTACAATGAGTGGCATATGAGAACTGCAACTGATTGATGTAACAACAGTTTGTTCTTTCCAGCTTATGCTCATTCCAAGGCGTGTACTCAATTAGTACTGTTAAGCTGATATTTTCCTTTAAAATTTTTTGCCCAGCATGTACGGTTGAATTTGTGTAACATGCAACTTCTAGATATTCTCACTTTACCACTAAGAAAACAAGGTCTAAGGCTAGGCACGGTGGCTCAAGCCTGTAATCCCAGCACTTTGGGAGACTGAGGCGGGCAGATCACTTGAGGTCAGGAGTTTGAGGGCATGGTGGCACATGCCTGCAATACTAGCTACTCAGGAGGCTGAGGCACTAAAATGGCTTGAACTTGGGAGGTGAGACTGCAGTGACCCAAGATCATGCCTCTGAACTCCAGCCTGGGCCACAGAGATGAGACTGTCAAAAAAAGAAAACAAAAAAAACCCCACAATCTACTCAAATTTGCGTTAACCAGGTGGCTGACCTTGTACTAAAACCTACATCATCTCTTTTCTAATCCAGGGCTTTTTCCAGTGTATTCTCATAACTGGACATCAGATCTAGCAGTAGATTTGAGAATGCCCAG